AAGCGGGGAAAGACCGGCCGCCCGGAGAAGGCGAGGCGAGGAAAGGGGCTTGGAAAGTGAAAGGAGCGGAAGGAAGGGAAGCCGATCCGAGCCGGGAGAAGGAAAAGGGGGTGCGTGGGAGCGCGGGTTTGGCAAGCTATTATCACCCGTCGGTCGATTCCCTCGGGCTCCCTCCCCGGCGGATCTATCTGCGCGCGTGGAAGAGGCGAAGGGCAGCCCCCCAGGCCGCCGGGCCGGCCTCTCGCCCTCCTCCCGGGGACCCGTGGCTCCGCCTTGAGGCCAGCCCTGCCTCGCCTCGCCTCGCCTGGCTTGGCCTGGAAGTGGAGCGCGGGTAAGGCGGGGGGTGGGAGGAGCGCCGGCTCTCCCAAGCCGTGCGGGCAGGGAAGGGAAGGCCGGCCCGAGCGCGCTCCCTCGCTGCTCCTGAGCATACGCAGAGGGCGCGGCTTTGGGTGCCCAAGACGGGAGCAGGACCTACCTGGCAAGGCTGTTGTCCGGATCACATGGGGAGGACACCTATCTCTGCCACCTCCCAAGCCCCGGAAGGAAGAGCTTTTCAGCCAAAGGATGTACCAAAGCTCACATTTTTTTTAATTCACGTGCAGAATTTGAGAAATGTCTTTTTTTAAGGATTCCAAATTCCATCATATCTCAGCTGTCCTGTCCTGGAGAACCCTTACAGTAAGCAGGCAAGCAAGCATCTTTCCAACTTCATGAAAAAGAACTGAAAACTTTTGGGGCGGAAAAAAAAATCGAATTCGTGTTATTTCCTCTTTGGCCGCTAGGTGTCAGGATAGTTCCATCAGAAGCATTTTATCGCTATGGCTTCAAATTCAGATTTCTTCAGCAGGAGGAATTTGCGCGTTTTTGTTTTTTTAAAAAAAATCCAAACGGGTAGAATAAAATCGTTAAGTTCACCCAGCCACGAAGTGGCCTTTGACTCGCTGATTCTGAAAAGACGGGTTTGGATCCCAACACATTCAACCCTACTTGCGTAGAGATAGTTATTCTGTGTGCACATAATTAAAGCATCTAAGTAACATTTAGGTATACTGTATATTTCAAAACCAATTTAACAGACAGAAACAATGTTACTTGAGCGTTGTAATGACTGGGCTTTCCTAGCCTCTTTCAAAAGCTACTTTCCAAAGGGTACTTTAATGCATTTTAAAAGATTTAAACCCTAAATCAATCTCTCTCTCTCTCTCTCTTTTTTTTCTTTCCATAAGCAACTTTCCAACCTCTGGTCTTGTCGGATGCTAAGATGCCATTTCTTGAGTGGAGAACCTTCTGCACCAGGCATTTTCTCAAAGAAGTCCAGAGCAGGTGCAAGAGATGATGCATATAGGGGTAATCTATTTCTGTTAAATGACCACCTTTCCCCCCCCCTCTTCAGCTGTAAAGGGAAAGGATCCTTCCGGCCCAGCTGCTAGGGTGTAGCACTTCTGGGGCAGTATTCTTGCTGATTGCTTCCTTGATTCTGGTACACAACAACCAGCTAAGACACTGCCAGAGAAACACTCACAGGGGGAGGCTCCATGGCGCCAGAGAAGACCTGGACAAGTTTTCCCCTGCTCTCTCTTTCTTTCCTTCTGAAAGGTGGAAGACCTAGGAACAACCACAATGATTAAATTAAATTAAAATATTGCAAAGACAGCTGGACTTTCTCCAAAAACAGGAGAGGGGGGGGCACAGAGAGGACTAGAAGATTGATTCCAGGATAACCTTTGACTTCCAGATTGAGATATTTATTTATTAAATAGGGAGGCCAGGCACAAAAAGGGTTCTCGAATGCATAATAATGGTGCAGGAGAGAGGATTACAGGATTTGATCTCTGGGCAAGAGGAACTAACTGCCTGGGAATATCTCTGCTGCAAACTGTGGCATTTTTTTTAAAGAGCTCCTCCCATTCACCAGGGAATCTTGGGAAGTGTAGTTCCGGAAGCGTTGCTTGGGAGAACTCTCAGCGGCCTCCATGAACTACAAAGCCCAGGATGCTTCTGGGAGGTACTGTAGTGGGAACTATGAAAACAGCACCACCGTGACAATATGGCCAAACAAGAAAAGGTTCCATTAAGTTCACCAGGCAGGCTTGTGTCCCTGAACGATTTCCCTCACCCTAAATGACCTTCAAGAAGGAAGGGCACTTCGTTGCAGAACCTTATTAACTTTTTAAAAAAGATTTCAAAGAGAACTGACAGAAGAAAAATAACTATTTGTTTAAAGTCATACATAAACAGGCCATGCTGTTGTTGTAAGGAGGGGGAATCGACATCCTTGGAAACCAATTAAATCCACATCCTTGTTGCAATAGATTTTTTAAAAATACAGGTTATTTTTTCCCATACACCTGTTTCACGCATAAAATTCAAGCCCACTCCCCAAAAAAGTATTTTTCTGATAGAGGAAGGAAGGACGGAAACGAACGAAGGAGGAGGAAAAGAGAGCGTCAAGGGGAAGGAAGAAAGGAGAGGGAGAGAGAGAAATAAAAAAGGAAGAAATTTTAAAAATATATAGATAAGGAAAGGACGAGAGGAGAGAAGCAGTAGTGTTTACCTACGAATACTTTTCCCGAGCTAACACCTTCACCTCCGGGCGGGACGGCTGACAAAGGGAACCTTTCCAGGGCCTGCCAAGAGGTATGTTCTTCTTCCTCCGCTCGGTGGGTGGGTCTCCCATAAGTAAGCACTTTCGCCTGATGGTGGACCCATGTGGGGCAGAACACACCCCACCCCTCTTGCAGGAGCCAGCCTCCTCTTCCTCCTCCCCCAGGGAGGTTCAGCCCCACCTGAAGGGAGGCCACTGGGCCAAAGGGCAGAGAAGGGAGAGGAGATGCCAGATGGCTTTTCTTTTTTTCTTTCTTTCTTTTTTACTTACTAAAATAATGCAAGCTGAAGGTGAAGAAGGGAGGAGAGGTGGTTTCGAGTTGAGGGGCAAAGGGCCAGCTCAGTGCGTTGTCCCTTCCGCCTGCAAAACCAGAGGCAGAATATTCAAAAAATTTTAAAGGGGAGGCTTTATTTCAACTTCCCCTTTCCCACGACCCCATCCTTCAAAATATTAACAGCCCAGAACTTCCTCTTATTTTTTATTTTTTTGGACCACCACTACTAGGTAACTTTTCTAGGCTACTCCTCGTTGTTTTCTGTTTTTAATGCCATCCTTTTTCCTTTTTCTTTTTTTTTAAAGAGGATCTTAATTTTTAACTCTTTGCAAACAGCCCTATGAGCTTATTTTAAAAGGGGGGGGGAATCAATGTGAGCTAAAGAAGAAATGCCAGCTAATAGAGAGGAAAAGAAGAATGACAGCAGATTAATCTACGTCCCCAAAAGAAATAAATCTATGCCCCATAAGAGGGATGTGTCTGCTAAAAATCAGTTCGATGCCATCATGATGTTAATGTCAAGATTCCGTCCCAGGGAATTCTGGGATTTGAAGTTTGACCAGGTACTGTATTCAGCATTCTTCCTTGTCATTCATGGGAGTGCACTAGAGCCCTTGAGCAGAGAAGGTTCTGTATTTTTCCTAAACTACAAACCCCAGGATTCCATCGAGCAGACGATGCATTTAAAGTGATACCGTAGCGCTATATCTCTGCAGTGCAGATGCACTCCCAGTGTTCAGGGGAGGGAGGGGTTGATAGGAGAGTGTTCACACATTTGCTCTGCTACCTTAGCCACCCGTAATCTGTTGGGGCCTGTTCTGCTCCTCCCTGCACCCCAAAAAAAGCCGATTAATCAACTAGATGGGTTAAGAAGGTGTCAGTATTTCAGGAAAGTGGCTTCACTAGTGCAGATTGAAAGAGGGGGTGGGGGTGGGGGAAAGAGACTGAAACCTGAGGCTGGCCAGAGGTCGATTCACACCCTAAATGCACACAGAATCTGAGTCAGACTCACGGGGAGGAAAAAATTGCAAGGGGGGGGAATCAATAAATAGAACCAGGTTGACTTAGTGACCTACTAAAAGCAGGAGAATTATGTAATGTTGTTAAAAGTGCATCTATTCAGCTTAGTCATCCTTAAATCTTGTGTTGGAGCCACTGAGCGAGCAGTGAGGGGCCCCTTGAGTGGGCTGCAGACAGAATCTGGAAAGGTGGTTTTCGTACTACAAGCCCCAGTATGCCCTAACCAGCAGGGATACTGGCAGGGGCATCCTCACCAAGCTCAGACACGAGGTCTGTGTGAGGCCAAAGCGCTCACTCACCAACAGGGCCGGCCCGGATGTCAGACGCAGTGAGGCAGCTACCTCAGGGAGTAAGTGCTGGAGTCGGGCAGTCATGAAGTTTTTTTAAAAAAAAACTTATTTAAACTAAAACTCCTTGGATTTTATGAGTCCAAAGAATGGGGGGGCATTTTAAGCACTCTGAATGTAGAGCCTTGTTGGGATGGGGAAGACAGACCATCATCCCACAGTGTGTATCCCTCGCACTCCCGACTCAGAGTGGTTGCCTCTTCTTAGAAAAAAAGTGTGCTTACAGGGCCTGGGCGCCTGCCCTCAATCGAACGGGTTCTTTGCCAGCCAAACAGAGGACACACAGGAGCGGGTGGGAAAAGTCCACTTTCCTGAGGCCAGGAGTTCCAAAGGAACACGTCCCCAGACTGTGATAAGAGCTAGGGTTTAAAAAAAGTGAAACAAACTTTTCCCCAGCCTCCTTGATACTGTCGGTTTAGGCTAAAGGATCCTGATGTCATTATGGGGTTGCAAACTGTGTCACAAAGTTGTACCGGGCCTGTAAAACGATTCTTGATCCCTCACTTAGAGGCTAGTTATTCTATAAAGCAAGAATTTCAGTGTCTTTAAGGTGCCATCGTTTTATTTTGTCTTTTAAAATTTTATTTTATTCTTATTACTATTTTTCCTTTGGGTTTTGCCTTTGTGCGTGTGTAATGTTAATGCCTTTCCTTGTACTCTCGGCCCTTTTTAAAAAGTTTTTTTTTTTTAAACAAACTTTTAGACTTCCCCGGCAAGCAGAGGGATGGCTGGAATGGCTGGAAGGCATTAGAACTGAGTGTTATTATTATATACAGACACAATGGATATATACAGAAGCTTTCAGTCTAGCATGACCTGAAAGAAAATGAAAAATTCAAGGAGAGGTTGGAAAAGTTACTTTTGTTGACTACAGTTTCCACCGTCCCCCTTAGGTACCATTGACCCTCCACTGTGCCTCAGGCGGTGCAATACATTGGGCTGCATCTGAGTTTATTATTTCCTACCCTATCCACGCCTCAAATCTTTTACTCCTCTCTTTCTCTCTGCCTTTTCTTGCTCCACTCCAGAAATTTGAAGCAGAGCTTAGAAAAAGTTCGTTTAATTTTTTTTAAAAAAAAATAATAATGCGTGAATTATTAAACTACCTTTCGGTATATCTTTTGGTATAGTTTAAATGGTCATTAGGACCAGAGAACCTGTTGTTAATTTATTTGAATCCCACCACATCCATCCGTCTGCTGGCCGGGGGGGGCGGAGTCTGAAAGTTTGCGTCCAAAAAAAAAACTTTTAAAAAATGGCCAAGAGTACAAGGAAAGGCGTTGCCCCTCCCCTCGCCCTCCCAGTTATACCTGCTGTCAGCAGATGGCCCATACCCAGAAGCAACTGGAAATGAAGTCAGCTTACTGGGGGTCTCAACTAACCTTAACCCTCTCCTGCTTTGTGCCCAAACTGTCTGTTCCTTAGCACTGGTTATGTAGGCCCAGAGTGGTATAAATATACCAGATGGGCGGGATATAAATCAAATATATATATATAGGCACACATTTTAGATCTATATAGCATTTTGGGGAGCTGTCATCATTAAAAAGTAACCTTTCTAACTTCTGCTTTAAAGCACAGACAGATAGACAGTATGTACACAGTCAGATACACACAAACACACTTCTTGCAAACACAGCCCGATGCAGACACACAGTTGGTTTACCTGATGGGAACAGCAAGCCCGAGGTCTCTGGATGGGAGAGGCTCGAAGGGGGGGAGGCTCCATCGACTGTGCTCCAAAAAACAGCCTTGGTCTCTTTCCCCCACATCTCTCTGTCTCTTTTTCTCTCTGCCTCTCAGAGACTGGGGACTGGACAAGCCCAGACAAGCCCGGACCAAAACACTCGTCCTAAGGTTTCCCTTCCCAGACGGTCTGCAGGGCAGGCATCAGCTGGAGGGAGATACAGCACGTCTTCCTGTGCGGAGTGTGTGAGTGTTTTGAGTTACGCAGCATTCTTCATCTGAAAGGAAACAGAAGCTCGAAAAATCCGGGTTACAAAGAAATTTCCTGCCGTATCCTCCTTCAGCCAAACACTCAGCAAGGGACTGTT